CCATCCGTTTCTGGTGGCGCACGCCTCCAAGATGGCGGCACATCCGTTTCCGGTGGCGTGCACACCCAAGATGGCGGCGCATCCGTGTCCGGTGGCGCGCGCCTTCAAGAGGGCGTCGCCTCCGTTTCCGGGGAGGAGGGATGGGGAAAACCCCAGAGAAACGGTCGTACAAGGTGAACAAGATCGACAGGGTTGTTGTTGTTCTGTTGTTGTTGTTCTAAAATTAGAAATAGAAAAGGTGGTGGTGGTGCAGGGAGGGAGGAGGAGGGAGGGAGGAGGGATTCAGGGAGGCGGGAAGGGAGTCGGGTTCTTTGTTTTGTTTTGTTTTGTTTTGGTGGGTGGGTGGGTGGCGATGGCATGTGGAGATGATAGCTCACTGAGACGAGCTTATCAAACACAGTCGACGACTCTGCCACATGTTGTTGCTAGGTTGACGTCATATCGGCGAAGCATCTTGCAACAACATGTCACAAATCATGTCATCGGGTATGGTGATGTGTTTGTCAACTTTGAGGTGTAAGGTTTCGTTCCACAAGGCGATCGTGTATTGTAGCCCACGATGACAGCCGTTCGTCTAAGTTAAAAGTCGGGGAGTGGCGAATTTAAAGGGGCTCAAGGTGTTGGCTGAATTCTAACGGTGAATCGACAGGCACATACATGAACGTGTTGTAGGTATATGCCTACGTGAAGTACCATGCAAACGTGGTGCCACGCGTGACGACAAACAGACGTTGACGTTGATCCATAGGATGATTATTATCATTTATTTATTCATGATACCGAGGTGCTGGCACTCGTGTAGGTTGACAGGTGTACTGTCATTCGTGTTGCCAGGCACCCGTAGTGTTTCACGCGTGTTGCCAGGCAAAACGTGGTGTCCTCTGTGTGTGTGTGTGTGTGTGTGTGTGTGTGTGTGTGTGTGTGTGTGTGTGTGTGTTCAAACAGACGTTGACGTTGATCCATAGGATGAACATTATTATGAATGATGCCGAGGAGTCGGTACTCGTGTAGGTCGACAGGCGTACTGTCATTCGTGTCTCCATGCACACGTCATGTACGTCGTGTGTTGTCATGCAAAACGTCATGTACTTCATGTTGCCATGCAATCGTGATGTCATGCGTGTGTGTCTTCAAACACACGTTGATCCACAGGATTATTGATCCTACTTTGTATTTTATAAGGAGAGAGAGAGAGAGAGAGACCGATAGACATACGTGGTGTTTGACTCGTGTCTCCAGGCACACGTGGTGTTTCACGCGTCTCTATTTCTATATATTTATTTTATCATTTGGAGACGTACCATGGTGGTGTCACGCGTAGGCGTGTGCCTCCAAGAGGACGAGGGGGTGGGTGTGGGTTCTTTTGGATGGTTGTTGTTTGGGTTGGCAAAGCAAGCAGGGTGGGTGTCGATGGCGTGTGGAAATGATAGATCACTGAGACGAGTTTATCAAAGTTATCATACACAGTCGCCGACTCTGCCACTCTGTTGCTAGGTTGACACCACATCGGCGAAAGATCTTGCTACAACATGCCACAAATGACGTCATCGACTATGATGATGTGTTTGTAAACTTTGAGATGTAAGGTTTTGTTCCACAAGGCGGGCGTATTGTAGCACAAGGACAATCGTTCGTTTAAGCAACAGGGGATGAGTGGCGAAAAGGTGCTCAAGGTGTTGTCTGAATTTCTAAAGGTGAATCGACAGGCACAGACATGTAGGAATGCAGGGAGCGATCGAAATGGTGCCTGTTTTGATTGGTCCAACACGCTGCGCGCTGATTGGTCCGTTCCGGCGCCTGACTTTCACCTCGGTTTTCCAAACTGGCCCGGCCCTTGTGTTTCTTGTTCATAGGAAAAGTGATGACCAGAGAGTGTCTATCTTATTTAAGACACTGTCGACCTGTTTCCTGATTGAACGACAACCCAAGCTTCTGATGGGTAACCATTTTTTATCCTGTTTTTCTCCCTGGGGTGAGCATGCTGATTTCTCCATCCTAAAAAACACAACACAATTCATTTTTTCAACTTTTAGAGTGGATCGAAAGGGCTCCTGTTTTGATGGCTCCAAAACGCGACACGCCGATGGATCCGTTTCGATGCCTGGACTGAGCCTCAGTTTTTCAAATGGGTCCGACTGTTGTGTTTGGTTTTTTTCATAGGAAAAAAATGTATTTTCCATGGGAGAGAAAGCACAACTCGGTTTGGGTGCTGTCTTCTGATTGGTCGGTGCTGTCTTCTGATTGGTCAGATTTTCGACCAATCAGAGACCTTCTATAACTAGATCCTCTTTTCTGTGTATATAAAGGAAGGGCTGACGTTCATCAGACACTCATCGCCACCATGACGGACACGCAGAGTACACCCTATCGTTTGGAGAGGAAAGACATCACCCGCTCCCGACGATTAAGAACCGCTAACCATACCTATCGTTTGACTTTCAACCCAGACTACTTTGACACCGTACCACCGGACCGCGTTCCCATGGAACTGCCAGTTTTATTTGACAGGGTGATTGATGACTTTATTGAACAGATGTCAGGCCAGAAGGGAGATCGTATTGGTCTAGGAGGTATCGATCATCCCGCTTTGAACATCCCCATACGGATTCCCTTTCGACGTTTTGAAGATCTCCATGGGCTCGATATTTTGCATGCCGTGGAAAAAGTCCAACAGTCCAACAAAGCCCTGAACATCGATGCCACCATGGTTGTGACTTTAGTACACGTCGCAGATCCCGACAGGCTAGGATCGGGCAGTGGTGCTTCCCGGCTGAAAAACGTGATTGGACTCGAAGCTTTTTTAACACGCAAAAGGGGCATCGTACGGATCAACAACCAAGATCAATCCTGTTTGGCACGGGCCCTGGTGGTGGCACAGCATTATGCCCCGAAGCCTCACCCTCTGACCCAAGAATGGAAAACCCAGCGAGTGAGACTGACGAGAACGGATCGCGTCGACATTCAAGGCATACGGGCACGGGACTTGTTTCGGCGGCTTGGCCTGCCTGAAGGCCCCTGTCAGGGCCTGGACGACCTCGCACGCGTGGGACGCGCCTTGGTCCCCCTGAATTATCAACTGAAAGTCTACAGTCAAGAGGTGGACCAGAGACTGTTGTACAAGTGTGATGAGGCTCCACCCCACGCCACGGTGCTGCATGTCTATCATCATGATCAGCACTACGATGTCATCACCACCACAACCCACAACCCACAAAAATATTTCCAAATAATGTAAAACGAATCGCAGAAATGCAACAGACGAGGGTGCAACTGATACTTTGCGTTAGTTCATCAAAATCCGTGAAAAAATGACTGAATTTGTTAAATTTGGCAATGCACATGCAGCATGATCACGTGATACATATGAGTACATATCCCTCTGGTCATTTGGTCATAAAATCATTTGGTATTTGTCATTAACAATCTTTGTTCGTATGATTTTGTGCATACATTTTCTTGCTGAAAGAGATGAAGATGTAGATGCAGGTGTTGATGAAGACGATCATGACCAGTTTCGTTTTTATTAGCATTACAGATTTAAAAAAAAGTTTTAAGTATATAGTCATTACTGCAAGCGTAATTGTTTCATAATTAAACATTATTGATTTTCCAAATCCACTATTTTCATCACTGTAAAAGCTATCCTGTGTGAAGTACATGACAACTTACACGTGTGAACTGCAGATGTGTGCTGTTGTGACAGGTGGGAAGTAACCTGACTGTAGTGTTTGAGCGTGCTGATTATTCGTGCGATCACTGCACCACGGGGAATTGCCTTCCTCGTTCGTCAAAGCCATTCAGATAGAGGCAACTTGACTGGACGCCCTTGCTCTCTGTTCAGCAATCTACAGAAGGAAACGTCAGTGTTCTCTTTCCCTTGCGTGAAGATACGGGTAGCGAAGCACAGCAGAGGGTTCCACTGGCATAGGGTTCGAATCCCAGATTTTCCCTCTGATGACCCTTGTCTTGTGACATCCACATCGTAGTTTCATCCATGTTGTGAACATCTGGCCTCAGACCACAGTTATCCCCCCTACGTTTTACCGGAAGTTGAACCGGAATAGTGGATATAGTGCCCTGGGCTGTTCAGCCTGTGTCAATGTTTTGGGAGTGACTTGTGATAGAAAGATTAGACATTGTAGTATGTTGCCAATGTTTTGTTAGCCACAATCTGTGAAGGTATTGATTCCAGCTTCCCATGACTAGACCCCAAGTTGAAGGCCGCTCTGTGTGTTTCGGGTCGAAACTTCCGGTGAGCACTGTTGACAGTGGTTACTGCGAAAGATAGCTGGTGAATGCAGGCCGAAAATCTGCGTTTTAAGTGCTAAGTGGCAGGTGGGTCAGCATGCAACGAAGGAACAGCCTACGACCGATAGTTATTTTGTCGGGCAGTCATGTCACTGTAGATAGCAAAAAAGGAAATTAATTGTGGTCTGAGGCCATCTCAGTCCTGAGTCACGCTTGGGTTCTCTCCCTTTGACACACCGGGATATAACTGGAATAATGTTAATAGCCTCAAATAGATTGTTATTTATGCATCTCACTGACAGATTTCAGTTACTTTAGATACATTACCTTTGAGTTGACTGATATTGTGAAACATATTGCCCCCCCAAAATGATTACTTTATCTGTTTTGAGCAACTGAGGAATACACCATTATCCGTAGGATCTACGCACGTACATGTACGTAGACGATCCGGGGTGGAAAGGCCTTCAGCAACCAATGCTTGCCGTGGAATGCGACAATGCTTGTCGTAAGAGGCGACTGATGGGATTGTGTGGTCAGGCTCACTGACTTGCGTGAATCGATGCTCACTAGGTCAGTCACTGGATTGTCTGATCCAGACTCGACTGTTTACAGACCCCCGTTATATAACTGTAATATTGATGAGCACGGCGTTAAACAACAAACAAACAAACAACCGTAGACTCTCAAAGTATTACCATGCTTGTGCACATGCAAACACACATACGGATAGACTAAAGAGACAACACATGTAGACAGTTATTATCCGATTGATTGATGTTTTCATTGTCCGTGATTTTAGTGCTACAATAATACCACTCGGATAATGCGCAAATCCTGGAGATACGACTGCACGTGTCCTAATTCTAGTAATGCGGCCACGTCTTGATGAGGGCGTACAGCTTGGTCCCAGGACAGGCGGTGGCACCAACATCTCGGTGGCCCCTGAGGATGTAGTTGGACTGGATCTTGCCTTTAGACACCCCACAGGCTATCAGCTTCTGCACGGTGACCAGGGCCTTGGAGTCGGGGAGACGCTCCATGAAGTTGCCCATCATACAGAACCCTGGTTGAAAGCAATACCACTTTAATATAAACACAGTCGATCTTTATATTGTAATATACAGGAAACACATCATACAGAACCCTGGTTGAAAGCAATACCACTTTAATATAAACACAGTCGGTCTTTATATTGTAATATACAGGAAACACATCATACAGGACCCTGGTTGAAAGCAATACCACTTTAATATAAACACAGTCGATCTTTATATTGTAATATACAGGAAACACATCATACAGAACCCTGGTTGAAAGCAATACCACTTTAATATAAACACAGTCGGTCTTTATATTGTAATATACAGGAAACACATCATACAGAACCCTGGTTGAAAGCAATACCACTTTAATATAAACACAGTCGGTCTTTATATTGTAATATACAGGAAACACATCATACAGAACCCTGGTTGAAAGCAATAGCAGTTACAAAAAAACTATATATTGTGATATAAGATAGCTACGCGATAAAAGCAAAGAGCAATGACGAGTTTAGCGTGGTTTATTTCACGATAAAACATAGTTCTGTCATGACGTCATTTCTGGAGATTCGAAAATGCGCTCGCAACTTGATGACGTCGTATATATGATGACGTTATTTTTTAGAAGGGAGTGATTTGTTCCTCAAAGATGTAGCCGGGCAACGAAGACAAACGATCGCATCCCAAAGCGAAAGAGATATGACAATCGGTATTTGGAGGCAATGTACACGTTATCGACGTGTGGATTGTGAGAATATGCGGGAAATACCCACCTCTGCGTAAAATGGACTTTTCCGACATTACGGAAGTTGGATCCTAATGAGGGAGTCATCATTATTTAAATAGGGATAAATATTTTGTAAGCTTGTACATTTTATTATCATCCTTAAACAGGCTGTTCACAATGTTCATATCTCATATCGTCGTTGTTTATCGTTCACTAAAACACTGCAGGGAGAATAAACCAGTTGGGGCTGCGCTCCTCGCGGTTTATTCTCCCTACAGTGTTTTATTGTATGATAAACAACGACCTCGAGTCGTCAATTTCTTAAATAAACAGGAAACACATCATACAGAACTCTTGTTGAAAGCAATTGCAATTTACAATGTACGCATTTTAAACCTTTATATATAATAATTCACTTCAATATTATTTTTTTATGAAGGTGTGGGATATATTGGTTAATTTATATATAAGATAGTGGATGGGTTAATTTAAGGGGAATTAGTAGGGGCGGCTGACGTATACTTATATATAGTACCTACCTTAGCAGTCATTTATTGTAGGAGCAACGGTTGCAGGGGATTGATTCTACCCCATCTCCACGGAGGTGTTTAACATGTGATGTCAACAGAAGAGATGACCATGTACTGCTAATACGGGTGATAAACGAGGAAGCGGATGTGTTGGGTGTGTTGCAAGAACGACAACTCCCTTCCTAAGCGCGGACGCAGCTTTACAATACAGAGCATATTGCTGTCTGAGTGTTGGACCTACCTAGTCCGACAGAGTTATAGCCCTTGGTGTGAGCGCCGACGATATCCCAGCCGCGACCCTCGTAGGCATTGCCGTCCTCGCCGATCAGGAAGCTGTAGCCGACGTCGTTGAAACCTGAACATGTTTAAGGAATTCAATAGCTGCACGAGTATGTTCAACTGGATGTGAGAACCACGTTTGACTACAACTTTTTATAAATTCAAAATGGCTTCTTGCAGAGCCCACCAGGCAATGAGCCGTTAGGATGAGATGGTAATGTGGATGCAGGTACCATAGGATGTATACTCCCCAGGGAGCTGAGAATATTTACAATTATAATAATTATTATCATGAACAGATTAAAATAGTAAAAAAGGAAAAAGAGGGTTTGGGTGATCCTGGCACAGTCAGGCTGGTTAGGCCTAAGGCACCAAGAACAATGGGGTGTCGGACAACTTGGTACTTCGGATGCAAGCGTGACATTTCGAATGCGAGGTCTGCATATTAGCCATGTTTTTCCTGAATCTTATCGATCACATTAGTGTCAAAAGGGACAGAATATTAAATGATATAAATGATTTCAATGGATTTATCAAAAAGGACAAGATCAGGTTTTTTGACCTGGATACGTCTGAGGCTGTATACGGGCCTATTCCAAAGAATTATATATTTATCATTTTCCATGACGCCCTCTACATATTCCGGGACGTACCATGGATGGACCTCTGTGTAAAAAATACAAGCATTGTGAAGACGGTAATAAAATGATCGAGCAGCACCATCATGTAGCTTAAGATACTGTGTTTGTGCCAAAGCTTGGCATCCACTGACAATGTGTTGGACAGTCTCATAAAATTCATTACATAATCTACATTTTATTTTTACATTTTGATGTAAAATCACACACTGACGGTTTCGAGTGGGAAGTGTCTGGTCCTGAGCAACAAACAGAAAGCTTTCTGTTTCACTTTTCAGTAAACACGATGCAGTGGTCGATCAGATTGCGTCTCTTTGAGTCTTGGCAGATTTGATATGGCACTTCGCTTTGTTGACACTCATTTCTGTACCATCCAGCAGTACAGAACCATCAACAAAATCAGAATTGACATTGAGATAATAATGATGATGATGATGACGATGATTATGATTATGATTTTTATTATTCCCCATGTATCAGTGTGTGAACGCTGAAATATATTAATTGAATTAAGTCCTACACGGTAAATACCAACCCCAGTCATGACAATGTTCCGATTGTAAACACGTCTCAAAGCTATGACAAGGTCGTACGGCCAAATATATCGAAAGAGTCACGTTGACGGACCCATTGCGCACAGAGGGTAAGCTACTACTTATAAGAGAACGAATGCACCAGCGACCATTCTACCCAACATAATTGCCAATGGATAAACGTTGCAAAATATATACCCGAACAACGTCAGTTACTGAGATATTATTTTACTAAATGAGTATTCATATAACGTCACATGGCATACCACGTGAGTCCATATGGTCTCTCTGATAGGCCCTCGCCATGGCAGCACACGACGTCTCAGTGTGACAGGCAGCACTGGCGCCGTGGTGGATGAAGGCGTATTTCACTGCGCCGTGAAGGTGTAGTTGGCCGGCCGTGGGTGTCCTGGCCCCCCACTCGGACTTGGAGAGGATGCGGGGACAGCCGGCGTGGGTGCTGGAGCCTGCAACAAGTGAGGTATTATCACAGTGATGCGTAACCATGTCCTCAGTTTATCCTTCCTACTCGCTACGATGTTCCATGGCCCTGATGCATTTTCATTTTTACTCAGTCATGATCAGTCACAGTCGACGAGAGCGGTCGGGTAGCCTAGTGGTTATAGCGTTCGCTCGCCACGCCGAAGACGTTCGATTCCCGTGTGTGTGTGTGTGTGTGGGGGGGGGGGGGGGGGGGGGGGGGGGGGATTGGGTGTGTGTTTGTGGTGGGAGTGAACTACTCTTTTGGTCTACACTTGCTAGTTTGTGTCTTAGTGTTAAGGTCAGTGGAAACTGACGAGGGATAACCTTTCAGCTTTATATTTATCAGTGTTTGTATCAGCGTGTGTATCAGCATGTGTACCAGTGTGTGTACCAGCTGAAGGTAAAACGCCGGTGTAGAATAGGTCTTCAGCAACCCATGCTTGCCATAACAGACGACTATGCTTGTCGTAAGAGACGACTAACGGGATCGGGTGGTCAGGCTCCCTGACTTGGTTGATTGCATGTTATCTTACCCCAATTGCGTGGATTGATGCTCATGATATCAATCACTGCATTGTTTGATTTGGACTCGATTATTTACAGACGGACACGGTTTTATGCCCCCCCCCCCCCTACCAGTGTGTCGTCCCGTGTTGGGGTGGGTGGTCACCGACGAGGGACAATCCTACATGCCTTCCATTACCAGTGTGTGTACCAGTGTTGGGGTGGGTGGTCACCGACCACGGTCACGGCTACATGCCTCCCCTTACCAGTGTGTGTACCCGTGTTGGGGTGGGTGGTCACCGACGACGGTCACGGCTACATGCCTCCCCTTACCAGTGTGTGTACCCGTGTTGGGGTGGGTGGTCACCGACGACGGTCACGGCTACATGCCTCCCCTTACCAGTGTGTGTACCCGTGTTGGGGTGGGTAGTCACCGACGACGGTCACGGCTACATGCCTCCCCTTACCAGTGTGTGTACCCGTGTTGGGGTGGGTAGTCACCGACGACGGTCACGGCTACATGCCTCCCCTTACCAGTGTGTGTACCCGTGTTGGGGTGGGTAGTCACCGACCACGGTCACGGCTACATGCCTCCCCTTACCAGTGTGTGTACCCGTGTTGGGGTGGGTAGTCACCGACGACGGTCACGGCTACATGCCTCCCCTTACCAGTGTGTGTACCCGTGTTGGGGTGGGTGGTCACCGACCACGGTCACGGCTACATGCCTCCCCTTACCAGTGTGTGTACCCGTGTTGGGGTGGGTAGTCACCGACGACGGTCACGGCTACATGCCTCCCCTTACCAGTGTGTGTACCCGTGTTGGGGTGGGTAGTCACCGACGACGGTCACGGCTACATGCCTCCCCTTACCAGTGTGTGTACCCGTGTTGGGGTGGGTAGTCACCGACGACGGTCACGGCTACATGCCTCCCCTTACCAGTGTGTGTACCCGTGTTGGGGTGGGTAGTCACCGACGACGGTCACGGCTACATGCCTCCCCTTACCAGTGTGTGTACCCGTGTTGGGGTGGGTGGTCACCGACGACGGTCACGGCTACATGCCTCCCCTTACCAGTGTGTGTACCCGTGTTGGGGTGGGTGGTCACCGACGACGGACACGGCTACATGCCTCCCCTAACCAGTGTGTGTACCCGTGTTGGGGTGGGTGGTCACCGACGACGGTCACGGCTACATGCCTCCCCTTACCAGTGTGTGTACCCGTGTTGGGGTGGGTGGTCACCGACGACGGTCACGGCTACATGCCTCCCCTTACCAGTGTGTGTACCCGTGTTGGGGTGGGTGGTCACCGACGACGGTCACGGCTACATGCCTCCCCTTACCAGTGTGTGTACCCGTGTTGGGGTGGGTGGTCACCGACGACGGTCACGGCTACATGCCTCCCCTTACCAGTGTGTGTACCCGTGTTGGGGTGGGTAGTCACCGACGACGGTCACGGCTACATGCCTCCCCTTACCAGTGTGTGTACCCGTGTTGGGGTGGGTAGTCACCGACGACGGTCACGGCTACATGCCTCCCCTTACCAGTGTGTGTACCCGTGTTGGGGTGGGTAGTCACCGACCACGGTCACGGCTACATGCCTCCCCTTACCAGTGTGTGTACCCGTGTTGGGGTGGGTAGTCACCGACGACGGTCACGGCTACATGCCTCCCCTTACCAGTGTGTGTACCCGTGTTGGGGTGGGTGGTCACCGACCACGGTCACGGCTACATGCCTCCCCTTACCAGTGTGTGTACCCGTGTTGGGGTGGGTAGTCACCGACGACGGTCACGGCTACATGCCTCCCCTTACCAGTGTGTGTACCCGTGTTGGGGTGGGTAGTCACCGACGACGGTCACGGCTACATGCCTCCCCTTACCAGTGTGTGTACCCGTGTTGGGGTGGGTAGTCACCGACGACGGTCACGGCTACATGCCTCCCCTTACCAGTGTGTGTACCCGTGTTGGGGTGGGTAGTCACCGACCACGGTCACGGCTACATGCCTCCCCTTACCAGTGTGTGTACCAGTGTTGGGGTGGGTGGTCACCGACCACGGTCACGGCTACATGCCTCCCCTTACCAGTGTGTGTACCCGTGTTGGGGTGGGTAGTCACCGACGACGGTCACGGCTACATGCCTCCCCTTACCAGTGTGTGTACCCGTGTTGGGGTGGGTAGTCACCGACGACGGTCACGGCTACATGCCTCCCCTTACCAGTGTGTGTACCCGTGTTGGGGTGGGTGGTCACCGACGACGGTCACGGCTACATGCCTCCCCTTACCAGTGTGTGTACCCGTGTTGGGGTGGGTAGTCACCGACGACGGTCACGGCTACATGCCTCCCCTTACCAGTGTGTGTACCCGTGTTGGGGTGGGTGGTCACCGACGACGGTCACGGCTACATGCCTCCCCTTACCAGTGTGTGTACCCGTGTTGGGGTGGGTGGTCACCGACCACGGTCACGGCTACATGCCTCCCCTTACCAGTGTGTGTACCCGTGTTGGGGTGGGTGGTCACCGACGACGGTCACGGCTACATGCCTCCCCTTACCAGTGTGTGTACCCGTGTTGGGGTGGGTGGTCACCGACCACGGACACGGCTACATGCCTCCCCTAACCAGTGTGTGTACCCGTGTTGGGGTGGGTGGTCACCGACGACGGTCACGGCTACATGCCTCCCCTTACCAGTGTGTGTACCCGTGTTGGGGTGGGTGGTCACCGACGACGGTCACGGCTACATGCCTCCCCTTACCAGTGTGTGTACCCGTGTTGGGTTGGGTGGTCACCGACGACGGTCACGGCTACATGCCTCCCCTTACCAGTGTGTGTACCCGTGTTGGGGTGGGTAGTCACCGACGACGGTCACGGCTACATGCCTCCCCTTACCAGTGTGTGTACCCGTGTTGGGGTGGGTGATCATCGACGACGGTCACGGCTACATGCCTCCCCTTACCAGTGTGTGTACCCGTGTTGGGGTGGGTGGTCACCGACGACGGTCACGGCTACATGCCTCCCCTTACCAGTGTGTGTACCCGTGTTGGGGTGGGTGGTCACCGACGACGGTCACGGCTACATGCCTCCCCTTACCAGTGTGTGTACCCGTGTTGGGGTGGGTGGTCACCGACGACGGACACGGCTACATGCCTCCCCTTACCAGTGTGTGTACCCGTGTTGGGGTGGGTGGTCACCGACGACGGTCACGGCTACATGCCTCCCCTTACCAGTGTGTGTACCCGTGTTGGGGTGGGTGGTCACCGACGACGGACACGGCTACATGCCTCCCCTTACCAGTGTGTGTACCCGTGTTGGGGTGGGTGGTCACCGACGACGGACACGGCTACTCGCCTCCCCTTACCAGTGTGTGTACCCGTGTTGGGGTGGGTGATCACCGACGACGGTCACGGCTACATGCCTCCCCTTACCAGTGTGTGTACCCGTGTTGGGGTGGGTGATCACCGACGACGGTCACGGCTACATGCCTCCCCTTACCAGTGTGTGTACCCGTGTTGGGGTGGGTGGTCACCGACGAGAGACACGCCTTCATGCCTCCCCTTACCAGTGTGTGTACCCTTGTTGGGGCGGGTGGTCACCGACGACGGACACGGCTACATGCCTCCCCTTACCAGTGTGTGTACCCGTGTTGGGGTGGGTGATCACCGACGACGGTCACGGCTACATGCCTCCCCTTACCAGTGTATGTACCAGTGTTGGGGTGGGTGGTCACCGACCACGGTCACGGCTACATGCCTCCCCTTACCAGTGTGTGTACCCGTGTTGGGGTGGGTGGTCACCGACGACGGTCACGGCTACATGCCTCCCCTTACCAGTGTGTGTACCCGTGTTGGGGTGGGTGGTCACCGACGACGGTCACGGCTACATGCCTCCCCTTACCAGTGTGTGTACCCGTGTTGGGGTGGGTGGTCACCGACGACGGTCACGGCTACATGCCTCCCCTTACCAGTGTGTGTACCCGTGTTGGGGTGGGTGATCACCGACGACGGTCACGGCTACATGCCTCCCCTTACCAGTGTGTGTACCCGTGTTGGGGTGGGTGGTCACCGACGACGGACACGCCTTCAGGTCCACGTAGTTCTCTGCAACCCATCCGTTCTGCAACAACAAGTCACCTTTACACACCAATTATAAATGAATATTCCCTTATTAACACATAAAAACAAATGTAAGATGACAACGGTCTTGATAAATATATATTGACCTACCTATTTCAGATATGGCAACACATACTTGTATATTTCGATGAGAAGGCATAACGAGTCCAAAACTGCTTATGTAACGTTTATGTAAATAGGAAATATTGGACGAATCGGAGGTGCTTCAAAACTAAAGCTAAATGTGTATTTAATTAAATTCGATGCTTCGGAGAAGGCCATTTCTAGCAGATTGAAAGAGTTTAGCATCTTCTTGATCCCAGCATTCAGCAATATTACAGCTATACCACATTGGCCTATGGATAATTTGAGTCTGGATCAGGCACACCATTTATTGACAATGTGGGACTGAATCTAGATCAGCCAAATCATTGACTTGACGAGTAAATAACGACAGGGAAGCGATGACACACAAGGGTGGGTCCAGCATTTTAAGGGAGGCGTCCAAAATATGAAAACCTTTTCGCAGTTAATTTAACTGCCTACAATATACTAGATTTGGTTTCAAAAAGGGGGAGGGGGATGTCCCCCGATCCGCCTATGACTCACAATCGTGAGGGCCACAGATTGACTCCCCGGCCGGATCCCACTTTTAGTTGGCCCTTACGACAAGATATAGTGTACTGGGACCAAACCACAGCGGGGGCACCACTTGCTCGTGGTATCTGTGTGCCTACCTTCCCATTATAGTCTATATGGGCCCACTCATAGCCACTGGCTTTGCTCTCATCTCCCTTGAACTGATAACAGAACCCGGGGTAGATGTTCCCAATTGTGCCATGGCTTGTTCCGGGTCCTGACCGGATGTGAACCGTGACCTTTCCACATGCGCATGTCGCTGCGCTGATGACCTCCACACTTGTTGCTATGAGCAACAACGCAGCTACAATCTGGCCGATCATGATCTACAATAAGTAACAAATATGTTCAACAAAAGGTAAAACTCAATTAAACAACACCAAAAGGCCAACATGTCAAGTTTTTCGTCGGATGAAAAGTAGATTGTAATTTTTTCAATAATTGGTTAGTTTTCGTGGTCATCACCGATGACGCCATTCGTGAAATTCTGAAAAGTTAGTACAAGAACGATGAATGTTTCTCAAGGGGGTTGCATGTTCATATTATAATACATGAAGGAATTGATAAGATGAAGCAAGTGAAAAGCTAGTCAGAAAACTATTGTCATGGATCTGTCACAAATAAAAGCGACAAAACTCTTTCAAATTCACAAGAAAACTTTGCAATTATACGATTGAGTCGATTGTACAACTATATCTCCAGGTGTTGTCAAAGGTATTGTGAATAAAACACAGATATGCTTACTGGGCACCACTGGTTCAGTCCCATTGTGTTCGAGATAACATCTCCTTTACGTAAAACATCAGCTATCAGACATGACACAGAGCTAATTAAATGTAGCATTAATCGTCAAGTGGCGTCAGGGATAAGTGTGTGAGTGAGTGAGTTGGGTTTAACGCCGCTTCTAACAGTATTCCAGTTATATTGCGGCGTGTCAGCTTAATGTGGGAGGGGAGCCCGAAGTGATGCAGGTCTCAGACGTTTACCACTTCGGTGAAACCCACGAGCACGGGTATGGTGCTGACAAACATTAAAACATAATCGGGGTGAACCGGGATTCGAACCCACAATCATAGGTTTCTGGCGTGCCCAAGGGAGGTAACTCTGCACAGCGAATCGCGGCACCTTAGACGACTGGACCACCCGTACCACCGCGTCAGGGATTACCACGGGATTATATATGCATATCATGAAGCTGAGAATTGTCACATTTAGGTTTATTGAATTACTTGACTCGCACCGAATACAGTTATGTCTTTGAAAGGTATTTAGAAGTGAAGGAAGAGAATTTATGGATGCTAACTGACGAAGGAATATGTATATACTCCGAAAAGTTGTGTTCCTCATAATAAAAAAGGGTTGACATCAATAAATTATCTTCCTTAACGGATACAGTGTACTGTTTTTACATATCTGGCACCGACTATCCGATATCTGACAATAGGTGTATGACAAAGGGCCTACACATTGTCGACCTCCATTGACTGTGTGTTTGCTTATTAAGAAGCCGTTCCAGCATTGAAAGCGTAGCCGCAAGATGAGGTTAATGCGTATATATATCCTGCTTTGCCAGTTGCAGAGTTTAAAACCAACAAATCTCATTATCTTTCCATATCTGCAATCAAATATATCGGCCGCGTATTTGTTACTTACCTTAAAAACTGGATCAGGAGCAGAAATACCTAGCAAAATGGCCTGATAAGAAAACAGGTAGGACAAGATAACCTATACTGCTCAAAATCTGCTAAGGATACCACCTTTAAAGGTTATATGTCAAAATGCGTGCATCTGTTGAAATAGACAAAGACAATATTGTGTAAAGATGTTTCCTGAACAAAAGTCCGTTGTCAATGCCACACAATCCAACAAACAACATGTCACCAATTATCAGTCAAACCACGCGTCAAAATGAGAGTATCTAAAAAAACCCACTTAAACGTAAAAGAATCACGAAAATTCAAGTACAACTCAGTTGCGCGTATTTGGTCCAAGTGATGCGATCACAGCCTGGCACCGTCGTCTCCCTATAAGTGTCTTCATGGTTGCCAAGGGATGATTGTTCCATTCTTCAGTAAGAACATTGCAGTGTTATTCCTGTAGAGTTGCCGGAAGGATAGGGCGTCGTGAGAGGGCCATCGCTCCATAGATGTTCGATAGGGTTGAGGTCTGGAGACCGGACTGGCCACTCCATGCGGACAATGGTCACCTGTGCTATGTAAACATCAACGACCCTTGCGTGATGATGTCGTGCGTTATCGTCCATGAGGATGGAGTTCGGTCCGATTGTACCAGCATGCGGTCTCTCGTACCCATCCAGAATATCATCCCTGTGGCACATCCTGCCCTGTTGTAGGACATTGTTCTTCCAGGTCTACTGATCCCACCCCAAATCATGATTGAGCCCCCTCCATAGCTGTTATGTTCGGCTACGCTGGAATCCTGATTCGTTGTCCTTGTCTACGTCACACTCGGGCACGGCGATCTGTGGAGTCTGGGCAGTATCTTGATTCATCAGTGAAAAGTACTGGAGCTGGTCTATCCAATTGACGTGATCTTCAGACCAATCCAAACGTGCCTGTCAGTGATGTTGGGTCAGGGGATGCGAATGCATGCCCTACGTGACCCGCACCACTCTCACGGTGACGATTGCGCACTGTCTTAGAAACGTTCACGCCACTGGCGTTCCGCAGGTCATTTCTGAGCGTGTTGGCACATACGAAATGATGACGTCTTGCTGCAGTCTGGAGAAACCTGTCGTCCAGCTGTGTGGTGGAACGCTGTTGATCACTTATGTCGCTTGACGGCTGATCCAAACGTCTGGTATCGATTCCATGCCCTGCTGACCAAACTTTGGCTGACACCAAACACGTTTGCAACGTGACGTTGTCTTGACCCCGTTTTAAGCATGCATTGCCCATACTTCTTCGGTCGTCAAACTACATCTTTGACCCTGAGGGGGCATATGTGCATGTAGTTGTTGCAATCCGTTGTGACAAATGCAGGTGTCTTCTCTGATAATGATGTCCAACGATTCTGTCAGATATATATATATATATATATATATATATATATATATATATATATATGCATATCATGAAGCTGAGAAATGTCACATTTAGGTTGGTTGAATTATTTGACTCACAACGATTACAGTTATATCTTTAAAAGGCATTTAGAAGTGAAGGAAGAGAATTTATGGATGCCAACCGATGAAGGAGTAAGAATATACTCCGAAAAGTTGTGTTCCTCATAATAAAAAAAGGGTTGACATCAATAAATTCTCTTCCTTAACGGATACAGTGTACTGTTTTTACATATCTGGCACCGACAATCCGATATCTGACAATAGGTGTATGACAAAGGGCCTACACATTGTCGACCTCCATTGACTGTGTGTTTGCTTATTAAGAAACCGTCCCAGCATTGAAATCGTAGCCGCAAGATGAGGTTAATGCGTATATATATCCTGCTATGCCAGTTGCAGAGTTTAAAACCAACAAATCTCATTATCTTTCCAGATCTGCAATCAAATATATCGGCCGCGTATTTGTTACTTACCTTAAAAACTGGATCAGGAGCAGAAATACCTAGCAAAATGGCCTGATAAGAAAACAGGTAGGACAAGATAACCTATACTGCTCAAAGTCTGCTAAGGATACCACCTTTAAAGGTTATATGTCAAAATGCGTGCATCTGTTGAAATAGACAAAGACAATATTGTGTAAAGATGTTTCCTGAACAAAAGTCCGTTGTCAATGCAACACAATTCCAACAAACACCATGTCACCAATAATAAGTCAAAACACACGTCAAAATGAGAGTATCTGAAAAAAACACTTAAACGTAAAAGAATCACGAAAATTCAAATACAACTCAGTTGCGCGTATTTGGTTCAAGTGATGCGATTACAGCCTGGCACCGTCGTCTCCCTATAAGTGTCTTCATGGTTGCCAAGGGATGATTGTTCCATTCTTCAGTAAGAACATTGCAGTGTTATTCCTGTAGAGTTGCCGGAAGGATAGGGCGTCGTGTGAGGGCCATCGTTCCACAGGTGTTCGATATCTAAGTAAACATCAACGACCCTGGCATGATGATGTCGTGGAGTGGAGTTCGGTCCGATTGTACCAGCATACGGTCTCACGTACACATCCAGAATGTCATCCCTGTAGCACATCCTGCCCTGTTGTAGGACATAGACATTGTTCTTCCAGATCTACTGATCCCAACCCAAATCATGATTGAGCCCCCTCCATAGCTGTTATGTTCGGCTACGCTGGAATCCTGAAATCGTTGTCCTTGTCTACGTCACACTCGGGCACGGCGATCTGTGGAGTCTGGGCAGTATCTTGATTCATCAGTGAAAAGTACTGGAGCTGGTCTATCCAATTGACGTGATCTTCAGACCAATCCAAACGTGCCTGTCAGTGATGTTGGGTCAGGGGATGCGAATGCATGCCCTACGTGACCGGCACCACTCACGGTGACGATTGCGCACTGTCTTAGAAACGTTCACGCCTCTGGCGTTTCGCAGGTCATTTCTGAGCGTGTTGGCACATACGAAATGATGACGTCTTGCTGCAGTCTGGAGAAACCTGTCGTCCAGCTGTGTGGTGGAACGCTGTTGATCACTTATGTCGCTTGACGGCTGATCCAAACGTCTGGTATCGATTCCATGCCCTGCTGACCAAACTTTTGTTGACACCAAACACGTTTGCAACGTGACGTTGTGTTGAACCGGTTTCAAGCATTCCCATACTTCTTCGGTCGTGAAACTACATCTTTGACGCTGAGGGGTGTATTTAGTTGTTGCAAACCGTTGTGACAAATGCAGGTGTCTTCTCTGATAATGATGTCCAACGATTCTGTCACGATAATCCAAACACAGGTTTTCAAGCACCTTGTGCACATCGTGCCCATGAATGCCTCTGCCCGTACATCATGATATTGAGGTGCTATAGGGGTTGCCCAATCAGTGTGTACCGGGATATTTCAATTATGTTTTTTGATATCATCAAACTTGATCCTTAGCAAAGTGTGAGTAGTATATATTGACCTAACATTGCTAGATAGTAGGCGAGTTTATTGAATGGACTGAGTGACTATGGTTTAAACGCCGGTTTCGGCAATATTCCAGGATTATGGGTACTTTGAGTATGTTGTACACGAACGGGAAATCGAACCTAGATACTCGGCGTGACGAGAGAACGCACTGACCGAAAGGCCATCCTACCAGCCCTTAGGGTGTGTGTGTGTGTGCGTGCGTGCGTGCGTGCGTGCGTGCGTGCGTGCGTGCGTGCGTGCGTGTGTGTGTGTGTGTGTGTGTGTGTGTGTGTGTGTGTGTGTGTCGTTTAACGGCTTAAAAATCAGTATTCCCGCTACTTGACAGCAGCTTGTAACTAATCGAGTTGGGCCATGCATAGACTAACATTTAGTCTCTGAAATCTTATATTACACAATATCCTTCTTGACTCTAAAAATCAAAAAAATTCCCTATGCTGATTTCAGAGCTAGCTTGAGCTGGCTAGACTTGCTTTTGTATGCATTTCTAGATTATTATTTTTTCATAAAATAAATATATTCCACGGTCATGGTGCAGGACTAGGCCAGGCACACTCCTGGTGTTAGTGTCCCACGCCGTTAGGGTACGATGACGTGCAATCAAACAATGGATCGAACAGATGTTATCAGTGAGGACGTCCAGCATTTCACATACAGTAAACTACGGTTATAACGAACTCAAAGAAACCACTAATTTTAATTCGTAATAACCGTAGTTCGTTATAAACATATATACAGCATATATACAACAAATAGTCGGGACTAAAAAGTAAGTTCGTTATAAGCGTGTTCGTTATAAACGTAGTTTACTGTATTATTTTTTCAGTGAACTTCAGATGACATGTTCTTTCACTTTTGACAAATTGACCCGAACCTCAGCAGACAGAAAAAGCGCATTATGTCATTGTGTTGTAGTATGGAATGATTTATCTATACAAGGTACAATACAAATAGAACGAAATAAATAAATTGAGATGGTTCAACTGGAATCTTCGGTAAACGTCTTGAACAAACACTGCTTCCCTTATACGACTGGTGAATCTGTGTCCCGGTTCTAATGGATTTTATTGATTCTGTTTCCCGGCCCGACACCATTCTAACCCATCATCGATGTATGGCAGAGTCAGCTAGGGTACCATTTCTTTCTGAGAGTTTCTCGCTATCTTCACGGAAGTCACGGGGGACACCAGAAATGGGCTTCACACATTGTACCCATGTCAGGAATCGAACCCGGGTCTTCGGCGTGACGAGCGAACGCTTTAACCACTAGGCTACCCGACCGCCCCTTTAAGCTTCAGACACTGCCTCTGTCAGAAATGTAATGAATCAGATGACATCAACTTATGACCCCTTGACATGTTCTCGCACTGTAATGGTCAACGGATTCATAGTTTGAAGCCTGAATAGTTTGAAGGCCATCTGAGTGATTGCCCCCAACGTTTGCTGAAATATTCTGTGACCAAGTTGAGTTTAATATATATCATGCTAAGATTTAAAACAATACAAGCTGTCAGTTCTTTAAACCATTTCACAAAATTTTCTGAATCTCGATACTCCGGTCCATCGATGAAACATCTTCGTGAACGGTCTCCTCGCTGAGGAATCAAATAAGTCACCACAGTTTTCGGAGGAATCTAGTTATATTTCATTTCTGAAACTGGTGCTTAAGGCTCAGTCTACACCTCAATCTACTAAATGGTATGTTTCGAGTGGCGCAAGCCGTGGGCGTTTACCATTTTGGCGAAAGGCACCAGCAAGGTCATGGCGCTGACAGACCAATTATCGAACTCGGGCGAACCTGGGATACGAACCACCGAACTGCGAATTCTTTGACAATTAACAGGAAAGGGACACCACTCTACACATTTGAAGCGCCGCACGCACGCACGCACGCACGCACGCACGCACGCACGCACGCACGCACGCAAACGTAAATAGATCATCAAATGCCATCTTACAGAACGCTTTGCAGAAACGGTTTATTCATAATTTGCGTGAATTAATCACGCAATGTGTTGAATCATTGTTAGTAATGCGGCCAGGTCTTGATGAGGTCATACAGCTTGGTCCCGGGGCATGCAGTGCTGCCCATGTCTCGGTGGCCCCTGAGGATGTAGCTGGACTGGATCTTGCCTTTAGACACCCCACAGGCTATCAGCTTCTGCACGGTGTCCAGGGCCTTGGAGTCGGGGAGACGCTCCATGAAGTTGCCGATTATACAAAACCCTGACAGGAAGCAAGGATTGATCAGTGGGTAACCCGTGTGTTTTAACAGTACATTGGTATGTGTTGGTAAAAGTCCAATTGTGTGTATTGAAAAAGGAGAAGGATATGTGTTGTAACAATACAATGGTATGTGTTGGTAAAAGTCCAATTGTGTGTATTGTAATAGTACAAGGGTTTGTGTTGTAACAATACAATGGTATTTGTTGGTAAAAGTCCAATTGTGTGTATTGTAATAGTACAAGGGTATGTGTTGTAAGAGTACAATGGTATATATTTATAATAGTGCAAATGTAAGTATTCAAATATTCTCGTATGGGCGGGGTAATCATGTGCTTAAACCATAGAGAGCATTATGGTATGAAAGGACAACTTGTGGACGACAGCTGCTTGGAATGCTTACATGTGTACACATGACATTACTCATTTCCGTGATTTCCCAGATTAACGGGGATTCACTGTGTGATTCTCAATGCGTGTTGATCAACTAGCAGTCCTACCAAGGCCCACTGTGTTGTAGCCTTGAGTGTGGGCCCCCACTGCGTCCCAGCCACGACCTTCGTAGGCGTTGCCGTCTTCGCCGACGACAAAACTGTAGCCTATGTCGTTCCAGTCTGAGAGAAAGAAACATGATGTTAAGTTTATTTCTTTGTTGTTTAAATAATCGATTCTGCATCAGACAATCCAGTGATTGACACCAAGAGCATCGATCTACCCGACTGGGAAACGCTGACATGCATGAACCAAGTCATCGAGTCTGACCACCCGATCCCGTTAGTCGCCTGTTACGACAAGCATTAGCCGCCTGTTACGACAAGCATGGGTTGCTGAAGATCAATTCTAACCCTTATCTTCACGGGTTCATGACGTTCAGTGATTTGAAAAAATATAATATTAAACTGAGAGAAAGGGAATGGACGAAAGTTGTTCTGTTAAATATTGCATTCAGAAAAGATAATAAAACTTGACATGTGTATACTCATAATTATGACAAATTACAAGTGGTATTCTTCTGGAAATGTGCAAATATGTTGTTTTTACCACACCCGAACAACAGGTACCCGTCTTCTAAAATAACACGAGTAAAGGGATGTCACTGCAATTAAAGTCTGACTTTGGATTAACTACCCTTGAAGTATGTAAGAGGTCATGGTCATACGTCACTTTATTGCCACGTCACAACTGACCCTGTTTGCACATCGAATACCGGCACTGAGAGGGAGCCCGGTAGCAGGCAAAAGGTAAATTATTTTTTCAAAATATTTCTTTATAACGTGTTAAATCTTTGTAGCGAGTCTGCGGACTTTGCGAGATGAAGGTTCGTGTACCCACCGATTCCCCTGTGGCTGCTGAACTTGTAGAGGACAGCTTCAAATCCTTCTGTTTCACTTGCTGCTTTTGACAGATAAAAACAACTTACGGTGTCCGTCCATGTGGTAACGCTGGTATCCCCGTACAATGGCTGCACACTCAGCCTCGGTGTGACATGCGGCGCTAGCGCCATGGTGGATGAAGGCGTATTTGACGGCACTGTGCAAAAGACTTCTGGACGTTGGTGGTCGTGCACCCCACTGAGCTCTGGTCACGATGTTTGGACAACCGTCGTTAGTGCTGGTTCCTGCAACGTCACGACAAAGTGCAATATACCTGAAAGAAATACCGTGACGAGCTGTGAAATGAAATTGTAAGTCTACACCTTGATCGTGATAATGTTTTCTGTTTTGGTCCTTGAATACGTTCACAAAATACTTTGTTAATTACCATGTGTGTATTTGAGTTGTGGAATGTGGAAGGAAAACCCATTGACGTTTTCCACTTTAGGTGAAAACCACAAGCACGGGTATGATTCTGACAATCAAAGGATAATGATCTGGGCTAAACGGGAATCCCAACTCATTGGCCATCCTGCTTCGACAAAGGGACGCAACTGTGATGCCCAGTGTGTTACACGCATGAGCAAACCATATCCCCTGTCAATTAACGACGTCACATTACGTGATACACGTCAAAGACCATGGAGTGCTATTCATGGCGTTTACCCAAACTATCACAAACAATGTTAAAGAAAAGCCACTGACGAACTGTTTCCTATATAATATGTTGTTGCTTGCTACGAATAAGGTTTTTGTCACAGTAGCACCTACCCGGTGGGGATTGCAGGGTACACTGATTCAAAGTCACTTGGTTGACTGCATGTCATCGTATCCCGACGGCGCGGGATGTTGTCTCTGTTGTTACAGATGACCATCTAGTCATACTGACCTAGGCTGGCTGACCAAACGCACAACGCGGCCTAAATACGTCGAATTGCCCTTTCCACAAACGTTACCAGTTCAACATATTAATTGAACTTATTATCTCTAAACAACATTTTATTCGAGTTGACACTGTGATATGTTTTGTTACACCCAAGCCATCACCAGTGCAAGTTGATTGAACTTATCTCCCTTGACAACAGTTTATTCGAGTTAACGCTGTGACATGTTTCTCTTACACCCAAACTGTCCGTGAAATGACCGATCGATGGTTACCTTTAATCGGCCACCGTGACCTAGTTAACATGTTGTCAACGATAAAACAAACAGACAACTGAAACCTGACCGCTGCATGTCGGACGTTGCACCTTAATAATGTTTAGTGATGTTATAGGAATAATATATATATAAATATTATGAATAAATTGCTTCATCAAACCTGAGCCTGTGGGACACTCCTTGAGTTCAACGTAATCCTCAGCAATCCAACCGTCCTACATAAAAATAAAAATCAATGATAGACGCATACATTTATTATGTTTTGAAGGCGTTGCAAATCCTTGTTATGTCATTGTCATAGGGCTGTTTCGACCTGAACCTAAATTTTGTTACTTATATGATCTAAATCTTTAAACGAAAAAATGAACAACGTCCTATGGGGATGCGGTTCTTTCGGTTAACACAATAATGCTAGGTCCTTGCCTTGCGGGCGCCAGGTTCTTTCGACAAGCAATACAATGCTTGGGCTTTGCCATGCGGCTCTTACAAGCAATACAATGCTAGGGCCTTGTCATGTTCTTTCGACAAGCAATACAATGATAGGGCTTTGCCATGCGGTTCTTTCGGTTAACACAATAATGCAAGGGCCTTGCCATGCGGTTCTTTCGACAAGCAATACAATGCTAGGGCTTTGTCATGCGGCTCTTACAAGCAATACAATGCTAGGGCCTCGTCATGTTGTTCTTTCGACAAGCAATTCAATGCTAGGGCTGTGCCATGCGGTTCTTCCAAGCAATACAATGCTAGGGCCTTGTCATGTTCTTTCGACAAGCAATACAATGATAGGGCTTTGCCATGCGGTTCTTTCGGTTAACACAATAATGCAAGGGCCTTGCCATGCGGTTCTTTCGACAAGCAATTCAATGCTAGGGTCTTGTCATGTGGTTCTTTCGACAAGCAATACAATGCTAGGGCCTTGCCATGCGGATCTTTCAAGCAATACAATGCTAGGTCCTTGCCTTGCGGTTCTTTCGACAAGCAATACAATGCTAGGGCTGTGCCATGCGGTTCTTTCAAGCAATACAATGCTAGGGCCTTGTCATGTTCTTTCGACAAGCAATACAATGCTAGGGCCTTGTCATGTTCTTTCGACAAGCAATACAATGCTAGGGCCTTGTCATGTTGTTCTTTCGACAAGCAATTCAATGCTAGGGCTGTGCCATGCGGTTCTTTCAAGCAATACAATGCTAGGGCCTTGTCATGTTCTTTCGACAAGCAATACAACGCTAGGGCCTTGTCATGTTCTTTCGACAAGCAATACAATGGTAGGGCTTTGCCATGCGGTTCTTTCGGTTAACACAATAATGCTAGGGCCTTGCCTTGCGGTTCTTTCGACAAGCAATACAATGCTAGGGCTTTGTCATGTTGTTCTTACAAGCAATACAATGCTAGAGCCTTTGCCTTGCGGTTCTTTCGACAAGCAGTACAATGCCAGGGCTTTGCCATGCGGTTCTTTCAAGCAATACAATGCTAGGGCCTTGTCATGTGGTTCATTCGACAAGCATTATAATACTGGAGAGCTACTCTTACTCTAACCTGGTCCACCCTGGGTGTTTGTTGCAAGAGCAGACTGAAACAGGAGTCGGGTAGTAACAAGGTGTGACCAGGTTGTTTGTGTGGAATCGAACCTAAATTGGGTGGATCGGAAATAAGGCCGTGAACATTTGGTTTGTATGGTCCAGACATTTCACAGGCAGCCCTTCGACAGGGCAATATCGCTGACTGCAGCGAGGGAGGGAGTATGTTTTTACGTCGTTTAAGCGATATTCAAACGGGAACACGAGAAATGGGCTTCATCAGACTGGGAATCGAACACGGGTCTTCGGCGCCACGAGCGGACGCTTTAATCACCAGGCTACCCAACCGCCACGTTGACTGGCAAAAAACAACAATTAACTCAATTCCAGACCAACCTTTCCGGTGAAGTCCACGTGGACCCACTCATAGGCACCAGATTTACTTTCATCTCCTTTGAAAGGGAAACAATTCCCTCCGTGGGCAGTTCCGAGAATAGCATGGCTTGTTCCGGCTCCTGACCGGACGTGAACAGATGTTGTTGCGCATGCGCATTTTGCTGCCCTGGCGGCTTCTAATGAGAACATTGACAGTGCCAGTCCAATTAGGAGTCGCATCCTGAACTGGAAAGATGGAAAGATGTATTTGTTACATACATGTAGTTCCAGACATTATACTTTTGGAAAATCGATATCAGTTAAACATTAAATCTTTACAGTAAGATGACAAACACAGTAACATAGCTTAATGAAGCATGGGGAAAATTACCATCTTAGCATGTTATGCCTATATTATGGTATAAACATAATATTTCCTTTCTGTGTTACTTCAATGAAGTTTTTTTGTAAACCGAAAAGAAATGTTAGACTATATGGGATTTTAGAAACATATCTTTCTTGGGGAAATTCCAGGCCTACGTTAGGTTAATAATGCTTTTTTTGCAAAGACATCATCAAAACAATAGTACACTGAAAGACTATTTAAGCGTCATCTCGACCTTGAGAAAATATTAAGAAAAAAAACAAGAATGCGAAACGGTTACAATAGATTTCGACGGATGTTACATTCTTGCATTTTCGTATTCGCGTTTTTCCAAGGAGTTGTATATCAGGCTTTGAGTGAGTGAGTGAGTTGGGTTTAACACCGCTATTAACAGTATTCCAATTATATCACGGCGTGTCATCAGCTCAATGTGGGAGGAAAGCCCGAAGTGATGCAAGTCTCAGACGTTTACCACTTCGGTGAGACCCACGAGCACGGTGCTGACAAACCTAGAAACATAATCCTGGCGAACCGGGATTCGAACCCACAATCATAGGTTTCTGGCGTGCCAAAGGGAAGCAACTCTGCACTACGAATCCCGGCCCCTCACACGCCTCTGCCACCCGAACCCCCTATCAGGCTTGGAAAGTTACACATACATACTGTTGGGCCATATGGTAACACGTTTATAAATCGGACGACTAGTGTCAGGATAAACGGATAAATGTCTTGAATACATTGTTTTGTTAACGTGTTGTTAGCCTCAGTTGTCTAGCCGTGTGTTGAAAGGATCAGGTGTTATTCAAGCTTACCTACCGGTCAAACGGCAATCGTACATACAGGTAAAGTGTTATTTTCATACCCTAAACGTTATTATTTTGATAAGAAGAAGCACGTTTTGACCTTCTGAAAGTAGGTGCCACTCCCTTTGTGAAGATAAAGGCGATTGAAAGGCAGCAAGAATGAGTCTTCATAACGTTAACTGGGTGACCCATTGACGAGCTCTAGTTTTCGGATAATTATTTTATGATAAATTTCCTTCCATTAAGTGATATAATTTTGAAAATATGCATTTGGAGCAATAAAATTCGCTGCAGTACAATATATTATAAATCACTTGTTCCATTTTATTGTTTGATGCTTGTTTAAGGAAATCACTGAATCACTGGATTCCTGACCGCCTCCGTGGTCTAGTGGTAGAGCGTCCGCCCTAGAGCGGAAGGTCCGGGGTTCGATCCCCGACCGCGTCATACCAATAGACGTTAAAAGATGGTACTTGTTGTTACCCTGTATGGCGCTCGGAATTAAGGGGCTAAAACAAGGACTGGTCGGCTCGGAGTCAGTATACCGTGTCTGAGTGGGGTATTCATGTTAAACTGCGGCATGGTATCTCAGTGGGTTAGCACCATAAAATCGGCATCAGTCCAGACTAGTACAAGCAGCCACACACACATGTGCACGCACGTCGCTATATAAGTGCAATAATCTTGGACGCGACGTTAAACCCCATTTAACCTCACCTCACCTTGGCCATGGATTCCATGTTGGTGCGTGCTTTAATTTCGTCCCACGTTTTGTTGATAAGAATTATTTACACCATATATAAAAATATGGGAGGTCAAAACTGACTACATGTAGCTTACGTCTGTGTGCCGAATGTTTGCCGATTAATTTCTAAATGCATCGTTGTGTGACATAGTGAGTGAATTGTGTTCAACGCTGATTTGAAAAGTATTTCAGTTATATCATGGCGTGATATATTTAAGTGGATGGTAAGTCTGAATTATTACCCATGTGGTGAAGATACAGGTTGTAAGATACTAAATCCGTACGTCACACGTGTGTCGTACAAGGTTGCTCTCGTTTTCTTCGTTTTGATTGGATAACCGTGACCTTTGTCACACCGGAACTACGTTTTTTAATTCTTAAAAAATGCGCGAGACGTCATTAACTCTTACAACTACAAGGCAGAACTGAAGGAATTAAACAACATCCGCAATCGACAACTGTGGCACAATCAGATTTCCTTTACTGTGGAGAACCGTTTACAACACCAGGGGGAGCCTTCTCCACTCCAGGCACTCCAGAATCGTTGGAGGAGTAGTAACTAACTCCCATGGTTAGGCTAGCATTTCAGCCACTCCTCGTATATAATACGCCACAGGATAGATGCCCATATATATATGTGGGGATCCATTGAATATTTGACTTGTTAGTATGTTTATATCATTTTAAAATATGGTATGACTAAATAAAATATTTCCTATAACGACAGTAGGATGGCGTGTAAAACATTTGTTTTATTGTGCATGTTTGTTGTTTGTTTATTTGTTGTTTAACGCCGCACTCAGCAATATTCCAGCTATATGACGGCGGTCTGTAAATAATCGTGTCTGGACCAGACAATCCAGTGATCGACATCATGAGCATCGATCCACGCAATTGAGATCGACGACATGCATCAACCAAGTCAGCGAGCCTGACCACACGGTCCCGTTATATATGTCCATTTCAACAATTCTCAGTGCTGATTAAAACGACATACTGTCACATCGCTTAATTGATAAGAACATATCCAGATAGCCATTGTTATGGATACGCCACATTTTATACATTTGTAATGTCTAAAATAACCTTCTCGAAACTTGGAGTATCTGCCCCTCGTGGATGAATGCTACAAGTTTCCGGAGTCTCGAACTTACACCAGTTTATATATATATATATCGTGACAGGAGATCCTTAATCCCTCCTGGGGCGGTCGGGTAGCCTAGTGGTTAAAGCGTTCGCTCGTCACGCCGAAGACCCGGATTCGATTCCCGACATGGGTACAATGTGTGAAGCCCATTTCTGGTGTCCTCCGCCGTGATAATGCTGGAATATTGCTAAAAGCGGCGTAAAACCATTCTCACTCACTAACTCACTTAATCCCTCCTACTTCGTAAGTTATTCTAGACATGTGACCAAAGCGGCTTTCCATAGCGATGTAGATAAGACCAAATACCTGTTCCACTGACTTCGACGACGAAGGAAGGTAGGTTATCATGGCGCTAGAAGTTATGTTCTTGTTTTCGTCTGTTTTATGTTGAAACAGTGGGCTTTTCCTTCACACTCCACAAGACTGTATGACACTTGTATGCCAAGAGGGATGACTTTCCAACAGTCAACTCCCCCTCCATGTCGAGCAATATTCTAGCAGCTCCAGCATTTGGTGTTTACATTGCGAAACTTTTGAGATACAATCGAGCATGCTCTTTCTCCTAAGATTTCAAAGAGAATCATGCGATTCCTCAGAAGTAGTTTGATTAAGGTCACAACATTCAAGGCCTGACTAAAGCTTTCAAAAAGTGTTATGGTAGACACGTGGAGGTCATTTTCAAATTTGACATATCAGTGACAAATGTGATGTCTGATGCAATTCCCTTTTTTGACTTGTACCATATGTTCCCGTGTTTTTTCGTGTGAACAATTGACTTGCCTTTGCATGTGTTTGTGAAAGGTGCCACCGATGGGGCAGATACGCTCACCTTTTCGCGACCATCTGGTATCATTACTATTTGATGGTGATTCATAAACACATGCTCATCATATAGCCGGAATTGTGCAATCGACTCTGCTTTATGCAGAGATATCTATTGGATATGTAAAGGGTTTTGTCGCTTTATTTAGATTTATGACATTAGACAGAACAAATATGTTACCAGGGTTATAGTTTAAATAACATCTATCATTAATTTCAAAATCAGATCACACTTCGCATGCACTTCTATATAATACTTGTGTGTCAGGGGTATATAACTATGAGTGAGTGAGTTGGGTGTAACGCCGCTTTGAACAGTATTCCAGTTATATCGCTGCGTGTCAGCTAAGAGTGGGAGGAAAGACCGAAGTGTCTCAGACGTTTACCACATCGGTGAAACCCACAAGCACGGGTATGGTGCTGACAATTTTTTTAAACCTAGAAACATAATCGGGGCGAACCGGGAATCGAACCCACAATCATAGGTTTCTGGCGTGCTAAAGGGACGCAAATCTGCGCAGCGAATCGCGGCGCCTTAGACGACTGGGTACATTGTATGTACATATCTTTTAAGGTCTGTGTCAAACGGGCGAAGAAATGCTGTGGCTTATCTACATGTTGCTGTAACCAAATATAACCATATCCCCATTCGTATGACATGTTTTCATCTTTTTGTCGCACACCCATGCTACTTACAAAATTATCCGATATAGCGCCATTGTTCCGGACAAACACCCTCACATTTGTATATAGAGAACACAATAACTTTCCAATTTTGCTACTTAGCCCATGTCTTTGAAAGAGGGACCACAGTCAAGTTAACCCTTTGCACAGAGTCAAAAGCTTTTGCAAAATCTACGAATACAGCTTCTCTCGTTTCACTGATAGATATATTTGTATTATAGAATATAGGATAAAAGCATTCAATTTGTCAGTGGTGGAGTATCCCTTTCTAAAACCGGTTTGTGACTCACTTTATTTTACTGAATATACTTTGGAGAGTTATGCCTCTATAATTATTAACATCGCTGGTTGCGCCCTGTTTGTGAAGAGGAACAATAATGCCAACTGTCCAATGCTCTGGAAAATATGATCTCTCCAAAAGGATATTAAAAAATAGTTCCAAATATGGTATTAAAATATCTGAGAATTGTTTAAAAAACTCTGACATCACATTAACATTTCCAGATGCCTTATCCTCTTTAAGCCGGGATATGCTGTCAATAATTTTCTCTTTAGATATTGGACATTCAAGAATATCAGCTGTTACACTGTCAACTTTATTTTCGTTGAATTCCATGTCAAATAAATAGGCTTAATAGAACTAAAAACAATTCCTGGAAATGCTCAAACCAGGCTTGAATAGCAATGTCATTTTTGATTTAATGGCTTTTAACGATGACCAAAATATTTTAGAATTTAAAGTTATTTAAACGTCTACATCGTTCCTGTTTAAGTAGCTGGTATTCGCTATCAAACCATTGTTGATCATATTTATAGCCCTTATGAATTTTCTTCATATCAGATGCAGCTATAATAACAGCTTCAGTAATATGCCCAATACTTTCGTCAACGTTAACAAATGCTACATCTACAGCCTTCTCCTGTACAGTAAACTACGTTTATAACGAACTGACCGATATAGCGAACTTACTTTTTTGTCCCGACTATTTGCTGTAGTTATGCTGTATATATGCAAACAACGAACTACGGTTATAACGAACTAAAATTAGTGGTCCCTTTGAGTTCGTTATAACCGTAGTTAACTGTAAATCATGCGCAGTCCCAGCTTTGTTGTAAACTGTTCAGCCTTCTCTTCAATCATTACAATCATTGTTATGTGTATTGCGTGGCGTAGGATCAATTACTAGAAGCGTACGTAAACTAGTCGTGACAGGAAGGTGCGAGGACTCGGCACGAGACGGTATGTCAAAGCTATGGCACATATCAAACAACTCGGACGAGGCAATAACATAAACCACCACACTCGCACCCTTGTTTCCTATAAAAGTAAAATCTCCCACACCGGCGTCTTCCCCGCACCTTCTATTCATAATATGCATATTTAGTATACTGCATAAATCTAGAAAACTTTTACCAAAATTATTCAAAGATAAATCCACAGAAAATATTTTTAAGCTAAAATTATCAAACAGAAATCCCCATACACTGGTATCATGTCCCTCGAGATATTCAAGGATATCATCTTCTACAAAATCAGATTCGGTTCTAGTTCTGGCATTCAAGTCTCCCCCAATCATCAAATAAACATCATCACAATGTGCTAGTATATCAAGTCATTTTGTAATATATGTATGCCATTTTTGCATTGTCTCAAAGGGTTTGTGTACAAGTCGAACATTCAGGGTGAACATAAACACATGAATATAGTAAATCTTTTTAAAATCCAATTACGGTTTTATCTAACTGTCGTAAACTTTAGACCATTATACATATTTAAAAAAATGTTGTCTAACTAATATGGCAATACCTCTTGAAAGTCTACAAAAGTTGGAAATCTTTCCAGCTTCTTGGATCCATAGCTTGAATCCTGGTAATATCAAACTTATGTCTATATCTTTCATCCATGTTTCTGTTATGCCGATGATGTCAAATGAGTTAAAATAATCGGTAAAGTCCTGATCAGCTAATTTAGAATTAAGTCCTGATACATTCCAGAAAACAAATGTTCTATTCTCAAGTTTACAATAATCGGATTCATCTGTCGTATCTACACGAGGCGTCCTACAATCACGCTCGGTCTCGTCGCAACCCTGGTGGGTTGATGTCCTGTCCCAGGCCTCAGAGCGAGAACTCAGAAGTCGTGGTCCTGTGTGTGAACCTCCCCGTCTACATGTATGTCCTTGTGAGGGCGATGTTCTGATGTTCTGGCTGAACTCGATCACACACAGCCAATACTAATTTATAAAATTGGTACCGAGTTCAGAATATTAGAGAAATATTTGTGTGAGGCCACACAAAAGAAATGTTTCTAATTAATTCTATATTTGAAACATCGCATGATGACCAGGTTTTTTTTCACACCATATTTTCTACTGCACGATCTTGTTTTCAAACGGTGAATGACAGAAGACAACCATGTACCCTGTCCGAAGCACACCCCCTTTCCAAAAGTGTTGCGCTCTCGGATACATCAACAAGACCAAAAAGTCGAATTACTTGGCTCCTTGGCGTCACGGACAAGTTAACAAGCATTGTCACGAATATGACCACATGTACCCAATGCATTAAAAGCTACACGATTCCTGGACTGCCCTGAATGTATACAGCATGACCCAGTATAGGAAAGATGCTTCTCACTGAAGACTAAAATCTAAAATGCGAAAAAAAGGAATTGCTGAATTTGGAACCGGGGACAATAGAATTGACCCCCTTGGTTTCAGATGACAAGCACCACAATGAGCAACATTTCTTTTCCTTTTTTTTTGTCCTATAGGAAAATATTTTAAGGCAAGTTGATGGGATGGTATTCACTCATCTACTGGGTCACTCACTCACTCACCGTGATAATACATACCAAATCCCTGGGATATTCTAACATCCTTCATCACTGTAAAGCTTACAATGATATAATAAAATGGGATTTATAGAGTAACACATTTGCTGAAATACTATTTGAATGAGAAGTATCTGTGGACGACATATAACATTTATCAATAGTCTTTGTGGATCATTTCTACAGGTCTCCAGATTCGAGATGATGCTCAGTTTGATCACCGTTGGTCTCTTGGCAACGACTCTGCGTGGAGCCAGTGCTGCTCAGTGCGCATGCGCGACAGGAGATGTCCACGTCCGTTCGGGTGTTGGAACCAGCCATGCAGTCCTTGGCACGCTGATAAAGGGAAGCTGCACCAGCTATGAAGGCGACCAGAGCAGCGGTTGGGTGCATGTCAACTTCAACGGCCAGGTAGGTTCTGGATGTCATATTGTAAGTAAGTCGCCAGCCTCGGGCTTAATAACAAAAATGTAATTAGCCGCTGGAAGATCAAGAGGATCACTACACGATAGAAGGGGACCAATAGCTTGGAAGAGGGCCAATATGGGTTTGAAGAGGACCAATATGGACTTTAAGAGGGCAAATAGGGGCTTCAAGAGGATCACTACACGATTGAAGGGGACCAATAGCTTGGAAGAGGGTCAGCATGGGTTTGAAGAGGGCCAATATGGACTTTAAGAGGACAAATAGGGGCTTCAAGAGGATCACTATACGATTGAAGGGGACCAATAGCTTGGAAGAGGGCCAATATTGGTTTGAAGAGGGCCAGTATGGACTCTAAGAGGACAAATAGGGGCTTCAATAGGATCACTATACGATTGAAGGGGACCAATAGCTTGGAAGAGGGCCAATATGGACTTTAAGAGGGCAAATAGGGGCTTCAAGAGGATCACTATACGATTGAAGGGGACCAATAGCTTGGAAGAGGGCCAATATTGGTTTGAAGAGGGCCAATATGGACTTTAAGAGGGCAAATAGGGGCTTCAAGAGGATCACTACACGATAGAAGGGGACCAATAAAGATAGGAAGAGGGTCAGCATGGGTTTGAAGAAGGCCAGTACGTTTCTTGTTATCATACTTTTAGTAGTGGCGTTAGAGTGCTGTCATCATCATTTAGATCGTTACAAAAAATGGTCGTTGTTGAGCTCCTTGAAAGATTCGTAGGACTATGATGAACTATGAAATGTAGTTTATGTTGGTTTTTTTGTCGGCTTTGGGACAGGTTATCGGACTGTCATGTTGACGCTCGGGGGTGTCCTCGGGATAGACTTATCCTGCCTAGGGTCCTTCTACCAATACCAGTATGTAAACATCGATATGGATATAATGTCAATATGTTCTTGATGTTGATCTGTTCCAATGGGCGCCATCTTTGTTGCAGAGCGGCTGGATCTCGGGACATTACGTCAACATTCAGAGTTGCTCGGGAGGTTCTTCCGGTAAACATCTTACCCTCGTAATATCTATCCCCGCTATCTTGGTTCGCACTGTTAGAAGACACAGTGATATCCAAATGCATTGCCGGACTTTTTCGTTTGCTTGGTTGACGCACTGGTGTCTAGATGACTTGGGGAATGCGAGAGCGGGACCTGTGAAGGAAGGAGGGAGGGAGGGAGAACATTGAAGGAGGGATGGAGGGAGAGGGGTAGGGAAAATCCCGAGAAGGCAGGTGTATGATACGGGCAGATTATGCACGGAGTTGAAGTCTTAAATGTTACTTGAATTTGTGCAAAAGGCTGTGTGCCGAGAAAAGTAGTCAAGTTTTCCAAGTAAGTTAATTTAACATCGCGTTGCAACCAATCAGATTCCATGCAAGTGATTTGACAAATGTGTTTGATAACAGTTTTTTATGATACCTATTTGCATAGTACCATGAGGGTAATAAATAATATAAAGTCCTCTTAATACAGGTGGTACGAGCACCCACGCCGGGTGTCCTCACATTGTGACCAGATCCCAGTGGGGGGCAAGGGCACCTCATTCCATCAGCCACCTTGCCGGGGCTGTGAAGTACGCATTTATTCATCATGGAGAGAGTGGATCCTGCTCCAGTCAAAGCACCTGCTCCGCCATTGTCAGGAGCTATCAGAACTACCATATGGACACCCACGGTGAGTGAGTGAGTGAGTGAGGGATCGAGTGGGCGACCGAGTGGGTGAGTGAGTGAGTGGGTGAGTGGGTGAGTGAGTCAATCAGTCCGCGATTAACTCATTGAGGGAAGGAGGGAGGGAGAAATGGATCCATTGACGTTTACGCAGTAACCTAATTTCCAGATTTTACAAGGCAGAGACACTTTGCCGCTAGGCTAAACATGTTCATTGGGATGCATTGCTTTTTTGTTGTTCTCACAGGATGGAGCGACATTGGCTACAGCTTTCTGGTCGGCGAAGACGGCAACGCCTACGAAGGTCGTGGCTGGGACAGAATAGGTGCTCATACCCAGGGCTACAACAGTGTTGGTCTGGGTAAGTCAGTGATGGGGCGGATTCACACCAAGGGCTACAACAGTGTTGGTCTTGGTAGGTCAGTGATGGGGCGGGTTCATACCAAGGGCTACAACAGTGTTGGTCTTGGTAGGTCAGTGATGGGGCGGGTTCATACCAAGGGCTACAACAGTGTTGGTCTGGGTAAGTCAGTGATGGGGCGGGCTCACACCAAGGGCTACAACAGTGTTGGTCTGGGTAAGTCAGTGATGGGGCGGGCTCACACCCGGGGCTACAACAGTGTTGGTCTGGGTAAGTTAGTGATGGGGCGGGCTCACACCAAGGGCTCCAACAGTGCTGGCATGGGTAAGTCAGTGATGGGGCGGGCTCACACCAAGGGCTACAACAGTGTTGGCATGGGTAGGTCAGTGATGGGGCGGGCTCACACCCGGGGCTACAACAGTGTTGGTCTGGGTAAGTCAGTGATGGGGCGGGCTCACACCAAGGGCTACAACAGTGTTGGCATGGGTAGGTCAGTGATGGGGCGGGCTCACACCCGGGGCTACAACAGTGTTGGTCTGGGTAAGTCAGTGATGGGGCGGGCTCACACCAAGGGCTACAACAGTGTTGGTCTGGGTAAGTCAGTGATGGGGCGGGCTCACACCCGGGGCTACAACAGTGTTGGCATGGGTTGGTCAGTGATTGGGCGGGCTCACACCCAGGGCTACGACAGTATTGACCTGGGTAGGTCAGTGCTTGGACAGGGGCTCACACCCAGGCCCACAGTGATGTCGATGAACAAACGTGAAGATTTTTGGGCAGATTTGACATCGACATAACTGTTACGCGCCAATTGCGAAATTGAAACAATGTGTTAACCCAGAAATCTGTACGTAAAAGAAATAAGTGTGAACAAACAAACAACCAACAAGTGGTATATAATCAACAAATATCTAACAAAATTCAAGTTTACAAATCAATACAAATCACTGCACAGCAATTACAGTGGCAGCAAACAATAGAGTGGTAGTACAAGATTCAATGGCAATAAATAATATGATGGCAGTAGTCAGTATCAATTATAGAATTTCAGTGGTGATAGCAAAAGTGATAGTAATCTATAGTCACCCAGCTAGGCAGGGAATGAGGGATGATGAGTGCTTCTCACATGAAAGCTGGTTCCGATCTGATGAAATGCATGAGAGATACGTAAACACGCTCTTGTCCCCTTGTGTTGTCTAACCAGCTTCTAGAAACTTCCACATAGTGCCCTCGCAATATAGGTCATTCTCCTTGTATCTATAACAAACCATCACCATCCGCGGTATACCAAACCGGAAGTCTTCACACCACGCTAGCATCTAAATATGGTGATTTCCTGACGACTGATCACTGTCCAAACACAATGCAGTGAGAGTCAACCGAATCTCAACAGAAACAATGTAACCCAGTTACCATAATTGCTAAACAATAAAATACCCTGCCATATAACGTAACCATTTGTAAAGTTATATGTCGGTCCATATTTTCTAGTGGCCCCTAACGTTATGTCATTACGGAGTTATCTCCCTTCGCATTCCACCCACTTCCGTTTTCTTTTGACGCTCGAAGTTTGTTGGTGTCCTTGCATTCGTTACGTTCTATGTTGTGTATGTATATAGATTGTATGAGATTGTGATGTAATTGTGTGACGTAGTGGGGCAGTTAGTTTTGACTAACTGATGTGAGAGATGGCGCGTTACGGAGGGGTGAGCCGATTGTCTCTGTGAGTATGTTATTGTCGGTTGGATCCGTTGATTGCACTGCATGCTTTTCTAAGTCTAATAAATGTAACGTGTTCCCTGTATACTTTCTACACATTATATGGTCTTTCTTCTGTGTAGGTTTCTGCATGATTGGTAACTTCATGACGCACGTCCCCAACAGTGCGGCCCTCAACACCGTCAAGGCTCTCATTGCTTGCGGCGTCAGCAAGGGCAAGATTCAGTCCAGCTACACCCTCAGAGGCCACCGCGACATGGGCAGCACCGACTGTCCCGGTACGGCACTCTACAACCTCATCAGAACGTGGCCACACTATTGAAATATTAATTTAGTCATGATGACATGATGAAATGTTGAATAAACATTATTGAAACTTGAGAACAATTTTTTAAAATTATCAATTGCTCAGCACTTAAACAAGACATTGTAGATTTCGGTTTGAGTTATAGTGATACAGAGTCTGTAGATGTCCATGAATCGTCAATCCAGATGGTTTTGACCGATAGTTTATGTGTAATTGAACGTGACGAGCGTAGCTTCAAACAACTTGGCTAATCCACCGCCCTGCTAAATAGTCAATAACGAGATGCGTCAAACAGTCAACCGGTCAGTCGGTTCAGTCATTATTGTACAAGGGTTGAATGAAAGCATGAAAACATGTGTAATGCATGGGAGCGAGATAATGATTCGTTGAATGACATTGTTAAATGAGAATTGGGTCGCGTGAACCATTTGGAATTTTCACTGTCTATGAATACATTTCTTGATAATTTATGAATTTTGTTTGTCCCAATCCAAAGATCTACTTTGCGAATTATCACGTAAAATAGATTTTAAATTTGATTAATCAGAAGCAATTCGACTGAATTGTATCCAAATTCTGCAATGCAATTCATTGTATCATGATATCATCGCTTTCCAGGGTGACGTCATAACAGACTCACATACTCAATAAAACCTGCAAGTCTGAAACACATAATGCTAACACCCATATCTGATCCAATATTGTTCAAGTAATTTTTAAATGAATAGTCCATGCTTGAAGAGCGAAATGATGTCAACCCTCCACCAACAGCTTTCCGCCTTACTGGGGAATGTCTGTCTTAGAACGAGCTGGATTTAAGGAAGCATTAAACAGTATTGCAATTACATCACTACATGTCAACTTAAAACTGGACGCAAACACAACGTGATCCTGGTCTAAAATGGTCTAAAATGGATTCGGACCATCGATCACAGGATCCTCGCACGTAAATCTGCACAACAAATTCCGGCGCCTTAGCTGATATTCAGCAGACGCCATGCCATTGACGAATGTTTAATTCGGATTGGTTAAAAAGAGTTTTCCTTTTTGCTACGAAACCTCCTTTTTAATAGATTAAGCCTTTTCACACAAAAAAACGTGCGCAATAATACATCGATAGCCTACATATCGATTCATAAAAAATGGCTGCCGATCCATCACCCATAGGAACTGTAAAAGTATCGATATTTCTTCTATCACACTGTGGGTCTCTTATACAAGCCAGGTCTCTAATACATGCCGGGTCAACGGCCCTCGAGAAATTAATAGACGGCCCAGCGTCTAATAAAAGAAATACGACAGTTTGATATCAGATCGTTTAGGCGACGATACGATGTTCTAGGCCATCTTACTACTAACCCTTACTACTTCGATAATAAAATTACAAAACTTTACAAAGTCATATATTTTGCATACAAATGAAATACTTTATATAAAACTGTGAGGGACATGGTTGATGGCGAACAGACTTCATTTACCGCCAATGAAAGTAAAATGCAACATTATAAAAGAGTGTGTGATCGATATCCATTGCCATCTCCCTCAACCACCAACAGAAGTATTTGGCAGGGGGGGTGGGGGGGGGGGGGGGGGGGGGGATATGAAAGTCCATCAGAAAACACTACATCCTTCGAAAGGCCACGAAAACCATATCCCGACATCACTGAAGTCACAGCACAGGACCTTATCAAACGTGATGAAATTCATTTCAGAACCCGCACAATTAAGACGATCATACATTCAACTAGATATACTATTACAATCAATGATGATTACATTGCAATCATATTTGAAACTCGTATATTGTGCATTTCAGAATATTTCACATGTCTCCAAACCACCCCCAATAACTCTAGTAACGGAAGTGTCTTAAGTGCCTTATGGGCCCTTTGACTACGCACAGCCCCATCTAGACTTAATCATTTCATTCACTCTCCCTCCCGGACCGCCTCCGTGGTCTAATGGTATAGCGTCCGCCCGGAGAGCGGAAGGTCCGGGGTTCGATGCCCAGCCGCGTCATACCAAAAGAAGTTAAAAGATGGTACTTGTTGTTACCCTGTCTGGCGCTCGGCATTTAGGGGCTATTAAGGGGCTAAAACAAGGACTGGTTGGCTCGGAGTATACTGTGTCTGAGTGGTGTATTCATGTTAAAACTGCGGCATGGTATCTCAGTGTGCTAGCACTATAAATCGGCATCAGTCCAGACTAGTACAAGCAGCCACACACACACACACGTACACGTGCATGCACGTCGTTATATAAGTGCAATAATCTTGGACGCGACGTTAAACCCAATTTCACCTCACCTCGTTTTCGAAAGGTGCTTCAACATACAGAACCTTAGCAACAGTGTTGTTGTGACTTACTTGTGTGAAAAAATAAAGGAAAATCTAATTTTATAATTTTTCATTTATTCAGCACATGATTCCAGTATTTATTTTCCAGGACCAAATGACAAAAAGAAAGGTGACAATCAAAGAGATTAAATGTCCTAACATCCTTGTGTAAAAGAATACACATCATTTTGCACTATGAAGTTCACCTTCTTCGTCTCACGGGGATTCATTGATATGATCGATTGCTATTTCAACAAAGAAATATTGATTGTACCGCAAACAATGGAGTGCCGGTGTCCCGGTATAAACTCTCCCCCGTACAAATTCTCCCCCCGGAGATTTTATACCGGTACAGATTCTCCCCCGGAGAATCTGTTCTGAAATAAAATCTCCCCCGGGCGGATATATTTCGCGCCCCCCTCAGTTTAAAGTCTCCCCCCTGATTATTCGGTTTGTTGCAATGTCTTTAAGTACTTTATTCTTTAAATAGTTATCTTTAATGTAAGGAGGGTTACTTTAAAAAATAGATCATGAAATATGGTCATAATGAATTGATATTTCAGCATATTTTATTTGGTAACTGTACCTTCCATCCTAAAATAATTATAAGACATAATCATACAAAACAAATTTGAATGAAATAACTTAATGTCACAAATACATGTACGGTTACTGTCGTAACTGAAATTCAGAAATCTTATTAATCCTCGCAAGAGTTTATTTCGTAGGTGGGGGGAGAGTTTATTTCGAGAGGGGCGAGACTGTACCGGTATAAATACGCCGGGGGGAGATTTTATTCTTGGGGCGAATATATTTCGTGACACCGGCATATGGTGTATGCTGTGTTGTCTGTGTATGCTGTATTCCGTGTTCAGGTGAGATGCAGTGCGTACGCAACAAGTGTCACGTGGTCACATAAGCTCCGCCCACTCATTGATTTTGGACACTTAAGACCACTGTAGGTTTGCATTATAGTTGTGAAGCGATTTTTTTTGTCTGCCAGTTGTCCTACATTCTCGCCTGTTTCGACAAAAACTGGAGATTTCAAAAGTGTGGCCACACCATCGAAACGTGAGTTGACGCCAAATTGTAAACAAATTGTGTCGAGGTCGGGTTCACATGTTGTACTCCGACCACAGGTTCTGTCGATGGTGCAGGGAAAAGGTTAATGTTTCGAAAACAAAAGTAATAATTTTTGGAGGGTCAAAACGTGATTACAACCATACTTTTAAAATTGGGCAAGATATTTCGGAAAGTGTTGAGACCTATCCAAGCGTCACCCTGCAGAAGAATTCTAAATTCACTGTTACAAAACAAAATCTGGTAGAGCAAGCAACGAAATTAATGTATTATGATTTGATCCAAGGACGTAAATTTTATCTATCAGTCTCTTGCCGATCGTATAGTCTTACCAGTTATTCTATATGGATGTGAAGTGTGGGGGTTCGAAACTTTATCTAATATAGAACGTGTCCAGTTACGTATTCTAAAACATTTAACATCCCTTCGGACTAGTACCCCAAATTATACGGTTCATGGCGAACTCGGAGATCTTCTGTAATAAATGTAGTTAAGATCAGAATGGTTTATTTTGGGGCAAAACTCTTATCCGGAAAATCATCAAAATATCTTTACTTATTTACAAGCTATTATATAATAATAACCTCTTTGAAAGACGCAAACATAAATGGATAACCTTTGTAAAACAAATCTTCGACGACTTCGGGCTCAGTTTCATTTGGCAATCACAAAGTTTTCAAAGTCAAAACCACCTTAAAAATATGGCTAAGAACAAATTAAATGATATCAAATTACAATTCTGGAAAGCCACACGAGATAAATCTTCCAAAGGAGCCATGTATATCATAGTTAAAAATGAATACCTGATTTTCGATTATTATATTAATATGAAAGTAAGTATTTGGCGAGACTTAAAATTTAGAACCTCCAATCACAATCTCCCAATTGAAACTGGAAGATGGAACAAAATACCTTAAACTGAAATGTCCATTTTGGAAATCATTTGATTTAGGTGGTGAGTTCCACTATCTATTTATCTGTCCACTATTTCAAAATGAGAGAAAACAACAAATTAGAAAATATTTTTACATTTTACTAAACATGTATAAAATGAATTTGCTTTTAAATAGTAACCGATTAGGAACACGTAGAAAATTATCCGAATTTTGTAAAATTATAATGCTGCTATTTAGTCCTATCAATATGTCTCGTAACTGAACCCTGTCCCGTATCTTTATTTACTGAAGCCACCGCTCGGTAAATCTGTTGATATATATTGTATATTTGTATATAGTGATGTACTAGTATGTGTTGATCAATGCTGTTCCTCTAGTGTAATAAAGTTCAGTTCAGTTCAGAAACAAATGATTCTAAAATGATGACATCAATATCTTCTTGCATTTGGGTTAACCTCTAATGGTTACGCGACGATTCATACATTTTGCACATCGGTTTTTCGATTCATACCTCAATGAACCGAAAAAAATACACAGTCAGTCCTTTAGTGATTTCATTTTTGATGTTTTAAACAGTTGAGAGAAGGATATAGGGACGGAGTTTTGTCCGTGCGTTCACTTCTCAATAGGGGACAAATATTCTCTGAAGGTATTTGAGCTGGAGAAATGACATTTTACACACTGATGTTACTGGTCACGATCCCAAATGATTTCGAAAGGTGGTGTCGTAAATTATTTTTTAACTTTACTTTACAACTGAGT